TTCATACAGATAATCACAATGAGAGATGTGTTGACAACAACAATAACAATGTAAAGCAAAGCGGTTATCATAAAATAAAAGTATCTTAAGTTTCCAATGTTCAAATAAGCTCCAAATATAAAATAAGATAAAGATGATAAAGTTGAATTTGGCATCATTCTTAAATCTGTAAATGAAACATGATCACATAACCTGCTGCTCTCTGTTCTGTCAGCTGCAGCAACATCTGCTGCTTTATACTTTCAGAACAGAGAATTCCCAGCAGAAGACTCGCACCTCATCTTCAGGACCCAAACCAGTCTATCAATTGACACATTCAATGATCCCTCCAAGAAACCTAACATGATGTGTACTATGGCTCAAAATAATCAAAAACAAACAAATAAATAATAAAATACCCAGTGCAGACACTACATTAACATTTGTCAATCACTTAGAGGAGATGTGATAAGAAGTTAATCTTGGACGTAACGGTCAAAGTCTAATAAGTGTATTACTGCAATGCCCAATAGCGCCACTAGGTGGTGCCTCCTTGTTTTGTTGACACTACGCTGACACAAAAAAATACTTCTGCTCAGTAATGAGTTGGTGTGAACCCTGCTGACAGCGATCCCTGCATGCCTGACGGAGTCACTTGGCTAAGAATGAAGAAGCGCATTATGGCAAAATGCTACTAGCATTTTGCCATAGTTCAACATCTTTCATCCTCTTTCATCCTGGGAATGGATTTTATGACCACACCATTAATGTCCATCCACATCCCTTCCAGAACTGTGCACATGGACTGTGCAGTTGAAAGGAGGATCCATCATGTCTCTCGACACCCTACACTCCAATCTCATGGCAAAAGTCGCTGAGGCAAGTCATGACGAAGGACAGAGAGTAGCCATGTTCAGTCTTCTCACCCAGTTTGACAACATGTTCGATGGTCACCTTGGACAGACTTCCCTAGCGGAACATGTGATCGATGCGAAGATGCAAAGCCTATCAATCTGTCACCTTTCTGCACATCTCGAGCAAAAAAACGTATCATCAAAGAGCAGGTACAGCAGGACGGCATCGTTGAGCCATCTACTGGTCCACGGGTTGGCTTGGGATGATTGTAATGCAGATGACAACACAAAAAAAGGGCAAGGCATGGTATTTGATTTCAGGGGTTTGGGGAGTGGAAGATGGGGAGGCGATAACCAAACAATGTAGGCAAGTATAACGCTCCGCTTCTGAAATGCTCTCAGTGGGATTTAAAGAGACAATGTCATGGAGCTATGCTTGAAGGAGTTTGAGTATGACAAGCGTCATCTAGAGTGGTGGCGTTCAGCTTCAGTGGCCGTGCCGCAGTCAGAACATGTGACATGATGTCGCAGTGGAATCAAGATGTAGATAATGATGACAATCAACACACTACCGGACTCACACATCTAAACATGTAGACAAAAGTTACAAACTAAGAAGTTGTCTTCTCCAGTGTTTTTATTTTATATTAAATATATTATTAAATAAACCAGCTTATGAACAACATGCACATTTTTTATTATATAGCTCCTCATGTCGGTTTTATTATGAGAATCACTTTACACATTTTACTGATGTATACAGGTCTGTATTGAGTATAAACAGCATGCAGGATTTTTATTTGATGATGATGATGATGATGATGATGATGATGATATGTATTTAAACTATAAAACATATTCAGTCAGTGGATGTTTTGGTGTTAGAATTTTTTGATACTGAACTGTTGTTCAGAGTGATGGTCTTCTGTTAAAACTGTTCTTGTATCTGTTTATTTTGGCATACAGCGGTCTGAAGCGTCTCCCAGAAGAGAGGTTGGAGCAGGTCCAGGGTCCTGACTCTGCACATGTATAAGTCCTGAAAGGAGGGCAGGTTGCAGTCCTGACTCTGTTCCTGATCCAAACCAGACACTGATGGATCTACAGACTGAATAATGGCAATGTAGAACCGGATCAGTAGCTCCTTAGGCAGGTTGAGCTTCCTGAGCTGGAACAGAAAGTACGTGCTCTGCTGTGCCTTCTTGATGATGGTGTCTGTGTTTGACTCCTCGAAACCTGAAGTGTTCCACAGCAGACACATTGTTTTTAGGTATGGTGATGGGGGGGCTCCTCCTAAACTTCACAGTTCTGAGCGTGTTAAGCTGCTCCCTCCTGTCAGTCAGGAAGATTGTGATCCACAAATAGGATCCTTGTACATGTCCCCCTGGGAGTCGAGGTGCTGCAGGATGTAGTGCACCCCTGTGTTGACTGCATCATCCACTGACCAGTAGGTACACTGGGACTTCATGACTATAGATGTCAGAGTAACAGGCCTGTAGTCATTTAGTCCTGAGATAGAGGGTTTCTTGGAGATCGGGATGATTGTGGAGCGTTTAAAACAGGAGGGGACTTCACACAGCTAAAAAGGATCTATTGATTCGTCTCTAAAAGAGCTGATACACATTCTCTTCACAGGTCCTAAATTCAGGTAGGGAGTCCGTAGGGAAGGATTAGGGGGAGGAAGGGAATCAGAGCAGGTGAAGGGTTTGAGTGTGGGCTTGTTGTCAGCCAGTTGGGGGTTCTCCACAGTGGGGGGGTGGCCTCTGGTGGTTGGTGCTGTTTTGAAGGCCTCTCCACACTGACTGGATCGTTACGTCAAAACCTGTTTTACAACTTTTCTGCTGATCTGACCTCCCTTGTCAATGTGTTTCTACCTGGTTGCACAGGATTATGTCCCCACACCTATAGGCCTCCTCCTTAGCCTAAGTGTTGCCGTAAACCAAGGTTTATTGTACGTGCCGAGAGTTTAATTCAGTGTACATCACCTCAGAAAAAGCAGACATAAGATATCAGTGAGTTCTTGCAGGTCTGCAGCCTTAAAAACAGTCCAACCAGGCAACAAAAGCAGCCCTGTAATTTTATACACACCTTATCTTAGGGCTCATGACTATTGGGATGCATGTTTTTACCCCCAACATATTTGTATCTTTTTCAGAATTCAAGGCTCACAGTGTTACAAATTTGTTATGTAGGCATAATTTGCTTTCATTCTGAGGGGTATTGGCCTTTCAGCAGAGTGTTTTTAAGATCTGATGTCAAATAATCCAGGACAGGATTATGGGAGACGGATAATTCTTTAGAGGGCAAACCTAATATGAACAGCCCTGAATCCTTCCTTATTGTAGTTTTAAAGATGCCACTCACTTCTCGAGCTATGTGATTCCAATATCTGCTAATCTGACTGCCATCTGATCACAAATATCCAAAAAAGTGATCTTTAGGGAGACTAAATTTGTCTGGAACCTCCTGAAAGGACTTCGAGATGTTACCCTCAAACATAACTTCTACCACATGAATCCCTTTATCCCGCCATGATTCGAATAAAGAAGGCCCCAAGCCGGGTAACAATTCCTGATTATTACAGATAGGAGACAGCAAGGATTTGACACCCCATCTCTCCATGTATACAGATATCTCTGGCCACATTAAAAGAGTTGATAATCAATGGGTCGGGATGCATGTTGATATATAACATACTGTAACCACCACTATAAATACCTTATGTTCACTTTTCAGTATTTTTTCATTTAACATTTCACACTTTAAATGTATTATTTGAACATTATTTAAATTCATCACAGTACCAGTGAGAGATTCTGTTTTCACATTTCAAGATAAAATATTCTCAATCATTTACTGACACTTTCTTATTGCACTTACACAGTATGTCTCTGACCAGTCAACATCTTATAAACAAAACAGATGTTCATATGTTTTTCGTATTTTGGTCATTTGCAGTCCATACATGATAGGATTCAAAAGTGGCTGAACAATAAGAAAATACAGAGACAGAAAGATTTGTAGGAGTCTGGGAACACTGCTAATATCAAATCTAGTGCGAAGTATTTCAAAGGAACAGCCAAAAGTAAAATTCAACAGAGACACAAGGTGAGGTGTGCAGGTACTGACAGCTGCATTTCTGATATGGTCTTGTTGGAACAGAAAACACGATTCTTAAGCAATTGCATCGTAAAGAGAAAAGGATGGGAGCAGCAGGGACAACAATGGTGACAAACTGTCCCAAAAAGTCCATAAATCGTTGTTTCACTTTGGTGTTTGAACAATGCCAACCATAACAATGAGATGTAGCTCTATGACCAATTCAACACTGTTTATGAAAGTTTCCACCAAGCGGTAAACGGAGATGTTTACAATAAAAGTAATCAGCAATTTAACAAAAAGAGTAGCAACCATATTACAGCAACAAAGACAACCCGCCCTGTTAATGTCATACGCGTGTGATACTGGCAGGAGGCACAACACCAAATAGCGAAGGATAACCTGTCACATACAGACATCGACGGCTAAACCATTAGCAAAACTCTAGCATGTGCATATGTGTACGCAAGCAGAAAACTCTGAAGGTAAAAGAGGGAAAGAAACAGTGTGAACTAGTTCAGAGGAAATACTGAACCAGACAGGAATGGAAACCAACCGGCCTTGGTACTACCATACAAGTTCATTCTCACAAGAGGCGCAACAGAAATATGACATAGGTTCATGGGTAAGCTTCTTTCTCATACAGTAAATCACAATGAGGAGTGTTTTGAACAACAACAATATCAAGTACAAGCAAAGCGGTTATACATGAAAATAAAAGTACCTTAAATTTTCCCAACATGCAAATAGCTCAAAAAACATCAAGAAATAAGAAACAAGATGAATGTTGAAATTATGACATTCATTTTTTGGTTTATAAGAAAAAACAACTAATTCAGGCAAATATTCAAAATGTACTGTTCTCATTCAATCAAAATCAGTACTACGCTTCATAAGACCAGTCACTTTGAAAAACAGATTACTTTTAAAAGAAGTGTAGATTTCTAACAATATATTCAGGTTATCACCATACCAGCCTAAAACTTACGCAGCCATGTAAACTCCCCACCACTTCATCCACTCAATCGGATCTGTTAGCTCCAGCAGCACACTGCGCTCACAGTCT